ATCATGTCTATCGAATTCTGCTCATTTCAAACCGCCATTTCTGAGCTACAAGTGAAACTTTGCACCGTGACACCTCATGGTTTTCAGTGGTTTCTTGCATGCAATGTTTCATAATGTTTCTCAAGCCATCATTCCTATTAGCTGCTAATACTTGTGAATACCCTAATATCTTGATTCTGGGCAGTGACGCCAGTGACATCCAGTGACATCCAGTGACACTTTGCTCAAGGCCTTAACATGCCTTAGCTCATCGAGGCAGCGACAGCAATGGAACAGCCTTCTGCAGAATCAACGAGATTCAGGCCATTCCGGCCATTCCGGCCTTCCTGTTCGATGAGCAAATGGCTTCAGGATGACATCAATCACATCATTGCTGATTGATTGTGATACAGATTGCGACAGAATCTTTATCCAAGCGTTTGGAGCTCGATGTCCACACTTTTACAGTTGAGTGTTTGGAGCATTCGGGTTATGATAGCAAAAATGCAATGTGGGGCAGTGAGGATGACCTTTAGGCCTTGTGTTCATAGCACCGAGGCCAACTGTGTTGACAAATCCTTGAAATCCCTTCCAATTTTGCTTGATAATGTTGATGACCCAATTTATGCGATTCGGCTTGGAAACGACGACGTAAAATCAGTGGAGTCGAGTGTAGCGAAGGCATCAGGCATCTACATCTAGACACCTGCCCATAAGCATTCAGATCCTTCAGGCAAGCTGTACAGCTGTGTTTTCTTCATGACTCGGTTTATTCTACGCTTGAAGTCGGCCAAGACGGCCAAGACGACCATGCTATCTCGCGCAGGGAGGGCACTTAGACCTGTTGCGTTCATAGTGCCTCGACAAGATTTGACAAGCCAAACTTTCCCAATGTCCTATGTTTCCTGGCGCTGGCCTAGTCTTCCAAAGCCATCTCCAAAACGACCATGAAGGACCACGCTGCATCAGCGCAGTGAGACATGCATCCAGTGTTCCTCTCATACCAAAGGCTGTGTTGACAAACCATCAGAGATCCCTCTGAATTCTCATGAATTCTCTAAGTTGTGCTTAACTCAACGCACTCACTTTATCCGATTCCGCTCGGCAGCGACCACACTACCTTGGTGCGAGGATGTCGTCAGCATGTAGACATTGCCTAGTAGCACTGCCAGTCACAAGAGTCACAAGCCCTCCGAGATGCACAGTTTTTCCAGATTCCGTTGATCGTACGCTCCGAATGCACAGGGTCCGTAGACATTCCGTAGACGGAAAGCATCCATAGCTGCCATAGCGCCCAAGATAATTGTGCAATGTGCCAACAATGTGCCAACAAGCTGTCTTCGATTTCTCAAGGTGCAACACAGCACCATGCTACAGCGAATTGAAAAAGAAAGCATCTTAAGCATCTTGGAATTTCATCCATAGCATCCATTTGAGACGGAGAACTTTCCGAAGCTTTCCTCACGAGGATTAGACACGGCCTTCATCGGCCTTCCCGAGTTGAAGAAGCTTGCAGATTGTGCAGATTGTTTCTTTTGTTTCTTTCCGGGCCAACAGGAAACAGAAGCCGACTGTGCTGCGCAGATCGACAAAACCATGGTCACAGTGCGGTGGAAGCGCTGCACAAGTCACTACAGTCACTACAGTCAGTCAAATGACAAAACAATGCGTGTCGAAGACACTACCGGGACGACCGTGTTCGCAGTGTCCTTCGCAGTGCCCAGAGTTTCTTCGGAGTAGCCTTCCTTCCGGTCGAGCGATACGCATGCAGCGACGCAACTTCTCCAAATCTTCCATACAGACTACAGAATCTACAGACTACATTGGCTACATACTCTGTATGCATTTAGCTCACTTTAGTGCAGGCTATCATTCAAGGTGTTGGCGGCATTCGGGATAGCCTGTACTCTTGCTTGATTCGTTCGATTCATTCGATTCATTTGATTCCATCAAAGCTCTTTTCAGCTTGTGCATCGCAAGGATTTGTTGGGCATGGGATGTGGGTCTGGCTCCAAACAGAATAATTAGCCGGTGTCGGCTCGCTTCAGGTTCCAAATTCCAGAACTAAGGGAGATGGCCAACTCTATCCGAGACTCTATCCTTACTAAACCCTATTGGCCATTGCTAGCTCATGATTTTCATTGATTTTCCCATTGTCTAAGCCACTGTTGGGGACGCTCGCCCATCAAGCACAAGGGTTTTAGTGCAGAGTAAAGCCGGAAAGTCTGACTGTTTGGTCCAGTACCCCGCGCCTGGAAAACTGTAATGGGTCCGGCTGTGTACTGTGTTTGACCAACGCAAAGAGAACCAGGCACAGCATGGCACAGCATGACGAGGACGGAGTGAGCGGAGTGAATGGAGAACAGAGCAGCATGCATTGAACGCATTGAACACAGAGCATGCGTTGGGCTTCGTACTGCGCTTCGTGCACCTGGAAAGAATACGTGATCAGCGTGGTCAGTGTTGGAAGTGCTTGACACGTTGAGGTAAGGAAAGGCTGGGCGGCATGGGCTGGTGCCAGACACTCTGGTCCGCTTGGCAGTGGAGGCGGTAGAATCCTCCGAATGACGAAGACAGCTGGGCAGAAGAGTTATACTGTTCGTAAATTGAGTTTCTGCCCAAAAAATGAGTGCCCTATGGGACACCACCTCTTTACATTCTCTTCCTACATTGAAGCAGGTGTGGCCTTCAGTTTTTCGGGCCTTGTGGGTCTCTTTGCTCAAGATGCTCAAGGCCTTCAAGATTCCGAGTGACCTTCAAAGAACTTCAACGCTACATGATTCCAGACCTCAGCGATGGCTCAGATGCAAGGGCAACATGTGGACTTTCACTGCGTGAACTTAGTGAATTCGTCTGTCGCAGGACAGGGAGTCAGGGAGTCAGGGAGGGATTTGATTTTGAGACATTTTTAATGATATTTTGAGTAGTTCACCGCTTGTCCCAACCCTGTTGGTGTTCCGACGCGGGTGAAAGACTCACAGGTGCCGGAGCCGTCATGATAGACTTCTTGCACCCTTTCACAGGGACGTGCTTACTTAGACTTCAGCGTCTCTGAGCTAATTGCGGCTAGTTGCCTAGAGACGTGCCAAGAGAGATTACTAAAAGCTAAGTAGACACAGAAAATAGTGCATTGTGTATCATTGTGTATCATTGTGTGTGTGTGCAATCGGTTTCATCACGAGGTCATGCAAAGCTTCGTGCATTTCTGAGATGACCGCACGCCACTAGTTAAGCGTCATACGCCCACAAGCTGCTGCGAGTTTTGGTGCCTGCTTCCAACCTGGTGTAGTCACGAAAGCTAGCTTGCTGGCTGGAGTTGGATTTGCTTTAGCAATGAACTGGGGGCAGACAGGATACAGCCTCCGCGATTTTCATGTCGAAATGATTTTACCTCCCCCCCCTGTTGGACATGAATTTAATAATTTCAAATGTTTATCACCCCCCCACGCGGGCTGAAACTCAGCTGCGTCCATCCCGCCGGGTTTCATCTGCAACCAGGCGTTCGCGCACCTGCTCGCACACAGATACACAAGATTATATTCCCTGTGAGTGTTGTGAATCCAATGCAATGCAATGCAATGTTGACAAACACAGCAGTCGAATACGTGCTATGCACCCAGAAGCACCACTGTTAACGCGATTTGACACATAAAGTGGTCATGAGTGATACTTTCGCGCCGCAGGATTTGATGAAAGCATCAAACGGGATGGAACCAGCCAAACACAACAGTCCAATAAACGCCACGCATCTTGAAGCATTAAGAAGAACGCCATTGGGGACATACATTTATCATGGTGATACCTTCACGCTGCAAGAGTTGGTGGAGGTACCAAACGAACTGGAACTCAGCCAATCCTGCCGCTGTCTTCCTGCCGGCTTTGGCCAGGGCTTCTGCTGCAGTTGTGACTTTGCCATCACGACACACCAGCGGCACGACACCCTCGCCATCGCCAGCTTGAAGGCTGGCGCAGCTGCTTAAGCTTCGGCACAAAGAAGCACACCTAGAAAATTTGGTTGCCAAGGCCTGCGCCCAACCGATGGGTTGCGCCATGTATTTGAACTGCCGCCTTTTGACATCGAGTGCATGCTTGCATGCGTTCCAGATGCTGCATCAAGGTGCTTTTTTTGATGTGCAACAGGGGGGAGATGCAGAGAGAGAGAGAGAGAGATGCCCAGAGCAAAAGATGTCACAGAATTCGAGAGGAAGAAGTTCACGAAAAAGACATGTCACAAGAGAAATGCGTTGAGAGACCCAAAGAAAGAGATATTAAGAGAAAGATTGGGTAAGAGAAACAGACACGTCAGAGAGAAATAGATTCCCATCAAAGAAAGGGGAAGATAAAGATGTGTCAAAATGTCAAGATAAACAATGCCAAGAGAGAGAGAGAGAGAGACGCGAAAAGAGACGTGAAGAGAACACAATATTTCGAATGAAGCTACTTTCAGAGACAGAGATGCAAATCAAAGGGGATGGGAAGAGAAAGATGTACCGAGAGAGATCACGGCTACCCCGGATTGACAACCCACGCCCTCTTTTAGGTCAACAAGGTCGACAAGGTTTTTGGAGGCTGGCGAAAAGCCATTCCGAATTAGCAAAACCCATTAAGATCTCTATAAGAGGTCTCCTGGCAAGATCCCTGTACAAGATCTCTATAAGAGCTTCGTTGGCACATGTTGGCAAGATCTCCGCAAGAGACCTCTTAGCAAGATCTCAACAGATCTCTATGATGCTCTATGCAATGTCTGTACAGGATCGCTTTAAAAGAGGTGCCCTGGCAAGATCTCTGTACAAGATCTCTATAAGAGGTCTCTTGGCAAGACTCTTGAAGAGATCTCTGTACAAGCTCTCTATAAGAGCTCTTTTGGCAAGATCTCTGTAAGAGACCTCTTGGCCTTGGCAAGGTCTCTGTACAAGATCTCCGCGCAAGCTCTCTATCAAGATCTCCTTGACCATCAATATTCACACTGCGCCACAGCGAGTGCAATCTGCCAGGCCCAAAGTGACGAGACAGTTGCACGG